CCTCTCTGTTATCAGAGCTGGTCGGTGTATCCGTGTGTGTGCGCTTTGCCCTTAAATCCTGTTTTAACACACTGCCATGTTCCCATCCACTGCCCACGTCAGTGACTGTAGTGACTGTTTAAAAGCCACCGAGGGACTGCTCTTCAGAAACTGAAGTGACGCATGCTTTCAATCAAACTGCCAAGTTTCCATCATCAAAGCGCAAACAGTCATCACTGTTTCCGAGATGTTTAAAACAATTTTCAGGCTTGTGTGCCGCCCTGCGCTCTGAGTCAGATATACACAAAAAGTGTTGTTGTACTGTTTAAACTTCACTTTATGTAGCAGCGTTTAGTAAAGGGTCAAAAAGTTTGAGCATTAAAAACTATTTCAAGTATCTAACGTCAAGAATAATAAATTACCGGATCACAATTATTGATGCATTGATGTGTTTAACACTTAAATCTTCCTGATATACAGAATCAAGTATTATTGGATTTTTACAAAGTTATGTATCTGCATCCAAAATGTGATATAGTATGAGTAGGTGGTGGTATAACATGGAAATACTTAAGTGCATTACCACTACTTTAGTAAAGTACTTGAGTAAACATACTAATTAACTTTCCAACACTGGCCCTGTCCACACACTCATATCATTGGGCCCTTTAAGATAACAGTACTCCAGCAAACATCATCAAAATCAAGGCCTGTGAGACGAATCCATCCCCATGCACGCTTTAATCCAGCTGGCACATCACTTTAAGCGCTTGATAAAACTTTGACCTGCCAGGTTGTAGCTGTAGTTTGCACAGCGCTGCGGCACCCTGTACACAGCTCGAGTAAACAGAGGCTTCAGAAAGTCGCTGAACTGGAACGAGGCGTGCAGCTACAGCAAAAAAGATCTCTGAGAGCCCAATCGCAGAGTTTTTGGAACTGTTAAATTGAATGTTTGTGTGAAGCCAGTTTCATGGTAGCAGGTTGGGCCGTATGTCAGAGCTAAACTAGATCATTAAGGATCTTTTGCTTTTTAAATTTCCACATTAAATTTCATGAGAAACTATTACAATGTCACGTTCAAGGTTGTGAAACATGCTCTGTGGGACTGTTGAGCATATGGGAGCTGTGGAAGTTTTGGATGCATTTTTTATATCTTAAGCAGAAACTTCTTGGGTTGAAAAATGAAGCCGGTGCCAAAATCTGCAATTCCACTAATAGCCATGTGCAAAACTCCACATAGACGCCCACATTATGTCCAACTTTACTGCCAAAGTAAACATGTTTACAGCCTACTGATAAAACCAGTGTCACCCTCTGTGGATAGTTTCCCCCTTTAGGACCGGTGTGCAGTGGGTGCTCCCACTGACGGGTGTTTGCTGGACCTACAGCTCATTCAAGAAGTTTGTGCCTCAGTGCTGCGGAGTGAAACTCTGGAATTGTATTAGTTTGTCACTTACCATTAAATTAGCAGGTATGCATGTCTTTGCATTGCACTCATACAGTTTATGAATACAGCTAACCAAGCTTACTAGCATTAGCATTAGCATTAACTTAGCACTCCAACCTGTTATCCAAATATTTTCCATTTCTGCCTCAAAAACTTAATTCATTAAAAAAATATGACAGTGCCCAAAATGCTAATGCTGAGGTTTCAAAATGTCATGTCACAAGCAGGTATGCATGTCTTTGCATTGCACTCATACAGTTTATGAATACAGCTAACCAAGCTTACTAGCATTAGCATTAGCATTAACTTAGCACTCCAACCTGTTATCCAAATATTTTCCATTTCTGCCTCAAAAACTTAATTCATTAAAAAAATATGACAGTGCCCAAAATGCTAATGCTGAGGTTTCAAAATGTCATGTCACAAGCAGGTATGCATGTCTTTGCATTGCACTCATACAGTTTATGAATACAGCTAACCAGGCTTACTAGCATTAGGCGATAACTTAGCACTCCAACCCAAAATGCTAATGCTGAGGTTTCAAAGTGCAGAGTTAATCTTTTATATACAGTCTATGGTCAAACTCACACTGGAAGTTTTCATTTGTAAATTCCTTCATGTCACTCGTGCTAAAGGAAATGAGAACCTGCTACGTTTTAGTTTGTTGTTTTTTTTCTGGCTCACTGATTAACGGGACCGACTTTGACACTTCTTACTGACAACACAGACATTTGTCCCTTATTGATTGCTGTTGCACTGTCACACCTCAGTTTGCTGCCATTATCAGTTACAAAAGCTCGCAAGTGGCCTTGGCAAAACTGTCCCGTCCTCAGAGCGCAGCTCATTGTTCGTACGTTTGCTACAGCATGTGTGACTGAGCATTTAAAGCTGGAGTGCCAGACGACAGGTTTGAGATGTTCTCTGCTGGTTATGAGCTAGAAACGTCCTTTTCCTCCAGCAAACACAGGCTTTCATGGTGTCTTCAAACAACAGCTGCAGCCTGCCAGGTCTCACACGTGTTCTCTAGTTAGTCAGCGTGTTGTGTAAAATCATTCAGCCGTTAGCTAAAATCTCTCTCTTCATAAAGTTTTAATCACAGGTGAATTTTGTCATCTTCAAAGAAGATGCGGAGGATTGAAAACACCCAAAAAAATAAGCATTCGAAACAATTTTAAAAGAACGTTTTGAATGAAATGCACCAAAGGTAAAACCTGTAGACGGTGCATGATTTACAGCACAACAATCAACATTAATAAATAAATAATTTAATAATAATAAATAATTTACAGAATGTAAAATGATTTTTCTAATTTAATTCACTTTCTTGTTTCTCTGTTTGTAAATTTATTTATTTTTTTTTCTGTTTATTTTCAAAAAGCAATAAAAAATTGTTACATTATTTTATTATTGTTATAAAATAATGAAAATTAAATGCAAAATACACATTTTTCACATTTTATAAAGTAGTTATGTCTTTTCTTTTTTTAAATATTACTTTTGGTGGCCTAACATGATATTTACACATTTATGGAGTATTTTATATTTATCAATTTATTTAATTATTAATGTTTCCTTTCCCCAACACCCTCAAACCCCAATTTTATAACCAAATTAATACAAGT